CAAGTGTATCCAGCTAATGCATGACCTTGCAACTCTAAATTTTCGCTTCCTCTCAAGTTCATATCTAATAGCACTCTTTCTCCGGCATAGTTGTGTCCTCGTCAACTCATCTTTAACCCATCTAACTTACTATAAATAACTCTACAGCTTGCTGGCATTGTGAAATGTCTGTGTCACCTTTGTGTTATTACGCGAGAACACTTGTGTCTTACCTTTTATAAGACTGATTAGAGAACAAATGCATCACTTTTCTCGTCTTTGGGAATATCCAGGTTTCATACTGCAATGTGATGACTGACCGGAACAAAAGATGGGATACTCGGTCAATGTTTACTTGAGGATACTTGGTCCTATATCAAACCCCTAGACGGAGCCCAACACGACAATTCTGGAATTGAAAGATATAACATATCATTTTAGGTGGAATACAGTATAGTCCAAGTAACTCTAATCAAATGGAGAGGAGCAAAAATGTGGAGGATATGCAAGTTTGTGCTTGAGAGTGAGAAAGAGATAAAACAGAGAGGTATAGACCGTGAGGCAAGTACTCGTGAGAGGTAGCAGCCAGTAAGATGTAGCCGACTTGTCTTGAAGGATCACAAAGAACGTGCAACTGATGTAGTGTTCTCCCCTGTGGATCTTTGTCTTACAACTGCTTCTGCTGATCCAACTGCAGAGTTGTGGAGAACTGATGGAGCACTCATACAAACTTTTCGAAGGTTATTTGGATCGTCTTCTCATCAGGGAAACACCTCGGGATAACAAGCTTTGACAAGACTTGGAGATGGAGATTGTGGGGTATAAACACAGGAGCAGAGATTTTGCAACAAGATCAACGGAATTGCATTTCAACGAGATGGAGAATTAGCAGCTTCTTCTGCGCGTGATTCACCCGTACGGGTTTGGGATCTCCGCACTTGTAGGAATATTCAAGGAAGACTCAAGTTTTGCTCCCATGGTCCTCTTCCTCAGGGCAAAAATGGTCATTTACCTAACCTTATAGTCAAACTCCTCTGTTCCATATGCTTCGTTTCAAGACATGGTTCAGAGTCTCTTCTTGATGTTACAGATGTCCTTGTGCCCACTTAAACAAATGACCATCCTAGATTTAACAAAAAAGAATGAAGATGAAATTTATGTTTTGATTGTCATGTATAAATGTTCAAATTACTTGCACATACAAATCATTATTCCACTATTGATAGTTAAATAAATGAATTAGAAGCATTGGAACTTACATTTTCCGTAATGATCTAAGACTTGTATTTTCAGAGATGATGATCTAAGTATTTTGGTCCAAGCCAAAATCATGGTTCTTAAGGATGTAGAGAGACAAGAGATTGAGTTCGTTACCGAGATTTTGAACTGCTTACCAATCGCCAACATTGAACAATTCAGCCCCGATATGATTGGCCAAGCTCATCTTGTGGAACAAGTCTCTCTTGGAATTGGAATGATTTTGAACATCGGTGTAGTCAAAGACATGTGGAAAAGTACCTCTCTTCTCGTCCGTGCTCCTAGACACCTAGCACTATGTACAATTCCCTTACATGTTTCTTCTAAATCTATTTAGTTAGTTTGATTTTTGCATTTTATTTTAAACCATTACTTGTGACGTATTTCTGTGTTATGAGATGTCACTAGTTACTAACTTACTACTAAAGCACAAGTAATTCAAACTCGCTTCTTCATATATATATATGATCAACCGGTTAGAAGCTCCAAAATCACACCTCTGAAACTATAAACATCACTCTTCTATGTTAACTGTCCACTCATCGAACCCAATGATTCTTTTGCTCAGGGCCCAATACTGTATACAATGAGCTGCCCAATTTATATTACAAACCGACTTTATATGATTAAAGAGGGATCCTTTGGCCCAGGCAATAAACTTTTGACTTTTATAAAAGCGTGATCACCAAGGCAACGAATCAATTTTTTCATATTACAATAGATTCTGTCATAAATATCTATATATATCTTCCATAATGGCAAATATCCGTTTTCTAGTTTATGTAAAACTTTAAAGACTAGGTCGGTCACATACATACATACATACTTTTGTTATAAATAGATGTCTTCACCAACCTTTATGCATAAGAAAACCTATTCATACGTTTAGGGTTTCTCTCTCACAATCACCAAAAAAAAAAAACCAACGACCTTTCTTCATCACTACTTCTCTATAGCCATGGCTTCTCCATTGATTGGTCCACCTGAGATCCGAGACTCTTACTCTGTCCCCGCAAAACCCACCACAACTTCTGCTCCAAGCAATTCATCCATGGAAGATCTCTCTTCTCCTCCTGTGGGCCAGACCGAGAACGGAGCCGACACGTACCTCTCCGCCGGCAATCCCTGCCTCGACTTCTTCTTCCACGTTGTTCCAAGCACCCCCAAGGAATCTATTGACGAGAGACTCGTCAAGGCTTGGAACCACGACGCTTTAACCACTCTCAAGCTCATATGTAACCTTCGTGGAGTCCGTGGTACTGGAAAATCCGACAAGGAAGGGTTTTACACGGCGGCTTTGTGGCTCCATGAGAATCATCCCAAAACCCTAGCTTGTAACCTCGATGCCCTCTCGAAATTCGGTTACTTTAAGGATTTCCCTGAGATTCTTTACCGGATTTTACAAGGCCACGAGATCCGCAAGACGCAGAAATCTGAATGGAACAAGAGGAAAATAGCATTCCGGCCATCATCTCGAGCTAGCAGAAAAGTTTTTTTCTCTAACCGTGTGGATGTAAGCCGGAAGGACAAGAAGTTACTATTGGCGATGCAAGCATTCACTAGATATGCTCATGATCCAGATTATAGATTTCTCCATGAACGAGTCTCTGATCTCTTCTCAGATTACCTGAGAAGAGATATGGAGTTTTTGACTTCCGGTGAACCAAACAAGATCTCTCTAGCTGCTAAATGGTGTCCTTCGATCGATTCATCGTTCGACAAAGCAACTCTGATCTGCGAGAGCATCGCTAAGAAGCTGTTTCCACGTGAATCATTCCCGGACTACGAAGGTGTAGAAGACTCTCACTACGCGTACAGAGTTCGTGATCGGTTAAGGAAAGAGGTTCTCGTTCCTCTTCGGAAAACTCTGCAACTCCCGGAGGTTTACATGGGAGCTAAAGATTGGGAATCTCTTCCTTACAATCGTGTCGCATCAGTGGCGATGAAATCATATAAAGGGATTTTCTTTAAGCACGACGCGGAGAGATTTCAGAAATACTTGGAAGATGCGAGATCAGGGAAAACGACGATAGCCGCCGGAGCTCTGTTACCTCACGAGATAATCAGAGAATTAAACGGCGGAGACGACGGTGGACAAGTCGCTGAGCTGCAATGGAAACGAATGGTTGATGATATGAAAGAGAAGGGTTCGTTAACGAATTGCATCGCTATCTCCGACGTGTCTGCATCTATGCATGGTATTCCAATGGAGGTGTCCGTCGCTCTGGGTTTACTCGTCTCTGAGCTATCCGAGGACCCATGGAGAGGAAAGCTCATCACTTTCAGCGAAACCCCAGAACTGCATTTGGTGAAAGGGGACGACTTGAGAACGAAAACAGAGTTTGTGAGGAGAATGCAGTGGGGAGCAAACACTGATTTTCAGAAAGTGTTCGATCTGATTCTGAAAGTTGCAGTGGAAGGGAAACTGAAACCGGAGGAGATGGTCAAGAGAGTTTTCGTGTTCAGCGACATGGAGTTCGATCAAGCTCGTAGATATGAGTGGGAATCTGAGTCGGAATCTGAGGCGGAATCTGAGGCCGAAGCTGAGGCCGAATCTGAGGCGGAATCTGAGGCGGAATTCGNTGCTGCTGAATGGGAAACGGATTATGAGGCGATCGTGAGGAAGTACAGAGAGAAAGGGTACGGTGAAGCTGTGCCGGAGATTGTGTTTTGGAATCTAAGGGATTCATATTCAACGCCGGTGACGGGAAGCCAGAAAGGAGTGGCTTTGGTGAGTGGGTTTTCGCAGAATTTGATCAAAATGTTTTTGGATAATGACGGTGAGATATCTCCAATG